GTGCATGTGTGTGTGTGTGTGTGTGTGTGTGTGTGTGTGTGTGTGTGTGTAAGTGTGTTCTTTGTGACACTTGTTGTGAAAAGTATTATAAATAACCTCAAACTTCTTCTAACTGTGCTCTTTTGCTCATTCTGACCTCAGCCACAGTCAAAGTCCCTGGCCTGATTCTGCTTTCACTTCATTTAAGAGCTTCAGTGCTCAGAGTGGAGCTGAATTTGACTGCATGTGTTTCAGGTCTGAATGGAGTGAAGAATCAGTTTAGTTTAGTGTGGAAGAGGCTGGAGTGGATTCAGAACAGCAAAGTAAAGTCTGTTTCATTTTTACACAGCAGGGCGTATTTGGAGTAAGTAGCTTTACTGGTGAGTGACTAACACAGTTACTGTGTTTGTTTATCATAATCATTTTTCATAAATCTAAATTTAATGTGTTAAAATAAAGATAAATGTTCTTGGTTTGGATCTCCAGTCGTAACTGCTATAAAATCTTTACATTATGTTGAAGTTTAAAAAAGGTTCTTCACACTCAAAGAGCATTTACAACAATGGTTCTCCAAAGAACCGTCCACTGAAAAGATCTTTAGGTAAAAGTGGATTTTCTAAGGCTCCTCACTTTTTGGCAGCTTTATTTGTTACAGTGTTTCACTCAAATAGTTCATAACTATAATAAATGTAATCATAAGCAGTAAACTGAACGCTGCATAACCAAAAGCTGCAATCAACTTCAACTACCTCCACACAGACTGGATTACCGCTACATTACAGCCTCAAACAAACAAACAAACAAACAAACAAACAAACAAACCTGTTTTGTGTGATGTATGTCAGTGAATATGCAGTGTCAGAGTAAAACAGGACATCATCAGATTAGCTGTCAAACACAAAATAAAACAAAACAGTTCTCTGTTTTGTATTCTTGTAAGAGTGGAAGAGAAAACGACATGATTAGATCTAGTTTATGTGCTCTTGATGTTTCCCTGAAACATTTGAAAGATGATGGGATTAGAAACAGAACTAATATAAGATTTGTAGGCACCCAAGCTCTGCAGCGTCCACCGGCTCTTCATATGCGGTCAGTAAAAACACGAGCTCTGAGTGTCTGTAAACAGACATTTTCAGATGATTTAACTCTGGTTGATATATTGTAGATTCAAAGTTTCTTATTCTCCTGGAATTGTCCTGAAAATAACTTTCCATTAAACGTTCACTGCTGCTGTTGTTTTCTCTGTCCACAAGGTGGCAGCACAGCTGAAACAGTGCAGATAAAGCTGAGTGAATGTTACACTGTACAGTGTGGATATAATGCATATCTCCACATTTCCTCCTTAGAACTAACAAGAGGTGAAGAAGAGGCGTAACAGAATACAGATGCTGAATTATCTGTAAACTGTGCAGCAGATATTTTCCATAGAAATATTAAATATTAAAAAATGAAGTGCATTCACTGCTTTTTAAAATAAACAGCATTATAAACATTCAGACAGGTGTTTAACAGAACACGGTGCTGCTGTTCACATCAGTTCATTCAGTTCATTCACACTGGTTTGGATAAACAGTCTTGTAAGAAATCCACAGCACAGCTGCTTTATTTTGTTTACTGTTAAACCTGTAATGACCTCAGTACAGGTCTAGTCTGAGCTCATGGGGTTTGTGGTTCAGAGTAAGGCGGCCCACCACAGCAGCTCTAAGTTCTTTTGGTGTGTTGAGGTCCATATTGCCCAGTTAGCAGGGAACGTTCCCACAACTTTGCCTAACGTTACCTACACGTTCTAATAATGTAATAATATTCTCAGAACATTTTAGCAGGTTTTTTAATCACTGCTCATATTTGAGAATGAGAGAGTGATGCACTGTATCTGTCACTCTGATTACACATTTACCTGTAACGAGCTGCAGTGCCTTTCAGAGTAAAAGTAGTGCTGCTAATATGAGTCTAATAGAGTTCTGGATCTCCTCCTGCGTCTCTCTGTGAGACTCAGCAGCTCCTCACTTTGGGTTTAGGGACCTCCTAAAGAACTACAGTCATTTCTCTCTCCATCTCCATCATCCTGACAGTCTGTTCTCTGTCAGTGCAGAGAGTATTTCAGTGTCCTCAGATCTCCCACTGACCCACCTTTGAACACGTCTATCACTGTGAAGCTCCTCAAGTGGAGTTAATCTGAGGTTTTTTAATCATATATTTAGGAGCCTCTGAATCCCACTAATCACCTATTTCAGCAGTGAGAAGACCTGAATGGATGTGCGTGTATGTCACGCTTCCCTTCGGCTCCCAAGCCGAACAGAACTCCAACTCCCATGATGCCTCTGACTCCCATGTGACGCCTAACCAGAGTCACGTGACTTACCCACATTCACAATCACCTGAATACTGATTGTTTGCACGTGTGTCCCAACCTATTTATACTTTCCTGTTGTTTGGTTCTCTGCCGAGTTTTGACCAGTGCTCTAGCACTACAAAGCGTCCCTGGTCTGTTTGATTGCTCGTGTTTTGACCTTAGCTTGTTTATTACTCCGTGTTCTGTCTCTCCCTTTTGTACTCTGTTTTGCTGGTTTTGGATTTGTGCTTCACTGTTCGACTACGTCTCTTGGTATGCCCCTTTACTACTTCTGTTTTTTGCTGTTGCTGACATGGACTGTTTTTGACCACCCCTTTGTGCCTAAGCCCTTTATTAAAACCTCTCATTTTAATCTGCGAGTGTCTGATTTCTGTCCAGTCCTGACAGTGTACATGGACAGTACTGTGCATAAAGCCAGAGACCCTCAGATTTTTATTTAGTAAACATTTAGAAAACTTTTTCACTTCACAATTATTTGCTACTTTGTGTTGGTCTATCACATCAAATCCCAGTAAAATACATTTATGTTTGTGGATGTAAAATGAAAAAATGTGGAAAAGTTCAAGGGATTTGATTTGTGTCAAATTTGCAATAGAGAACAAATTCAATCTGTTTAAATGAATAACAAAAAATAATGCATCCTTCTGGTTCATATTAAATGTCACTAATACATCACTTAAACATTTACAGTGTAGATTAGAAAATGAATGTCAACCCCCAGATTAACGACTGCAACAAAAGCTAATTGGAGTCCAGTCAATGTAATGAGATTGGAGCTACTTTGACCTCTAGAATCCACTCAAACAGTTTGAGTTTGCTGTTCACAAGAAGCCTCTGTTGATGTGAACCACGGCTCACAAGAAAGTGACCTCAGAGGACCAGTAAGATCAGTCACTGTTGATTTGCATAGAAAGGGTTACAAAGTGATCTCTAAGAGTTCATCAGTCAACAGTTACACTGTCTATTAATGTAAATGATCTTCAGTACTCTTCCTGCTTTTTCTGGACGTGGGCACTGAGCCAAAATCCCTCCAAAGGCACAAAGCAGAAAACTCAGTGACATAAACAAGAACCAAACAGTAACAACTAAAGACTTGAAGGAATCATTGGAACTAGTTAACATCTCTGTTCATGAGTCTACCATAGCAAAAACACTGACCATGCATGGTGTCCATTGGAGGAAACTACAGAAGAAGCTGCTGCTCTCCAACATAGTTGCATCCGTGAAGTTTTTCAAAGAGCACACTGACACTCCAAAACTCTACTGGGAAAATGTTTTGTGTACTGATGAAGCTAGGACTGAATTGTTCAGGAAGAACACACAGCAGTACATATGCAATAAAAAGGGCACCACATTCCAGCATGAAAACATAACCCCAGCAGTGAAGTCTGCTGGAGGGAGCATCATGATCTAGGGCTGCTTCACTGCCTCTGGGCCTGGACCAGAACTGTTCATTGAGGTATCCTCCAGGACCATATCAGGGCGGTAGCTCTGAAGCTCAGCAGAAGCTGGACAATGACCCTAAACATTAAAGTTAATGTTCTACAAAATGGCTTTAAAAAATCAATTTTTGGAGTAACTCAGTCAGAGACAGATCTTAACCCAATAGAGATGCTGTGGAATGATCGCAACAGAGCTGTTCACACCAGACACCTGAAGAACATGGCTGAGGCAATTCTATTAGGATTATGGTCCAGTGTTCCTCTTGAATGCTGTGCAGCTCTGATCCGCAACTACAGGAAGTGCTTGCTTGAGATTACTACTGCCAACAGAGGATTGATGAGTTATGAAATGCAGGGGCTCATTTACTTTTTCCTCCAGCACTGTGGATGTTTAATTGGCGTGCAGAATAAAGAAAAGTAAATTGAACTGTTTATCAATACGAGTGTGGATGAAGAATAGATCCCGTTTTATGAAGAGGTGGCTTCGTTTTGCTGAACATGTTCAGGTAATTGCTTTTAAAGCTATTGTAGTATAATATGCATATCTATTATCATGCTTTTAAGCACTATCATGTTATAAACACCGTGGCGTGTAGCAGTTACCTCTGTATTTAAGCCAGGATATTTCATAACAATCTTAAATAATTAAGTTATTCCAGTTATGTTAGTGACTCGCTGTTTTTAAACTTTCTCTTTAGTTCATCCTACTGCTCCATTAAAAGGGTAACAGACCAATTTATTTCTATCCAGTCTTTAAAATAAAACAGCATTTTAAAATGATTATGCATTTGAACACACATGGTTCTTCAAGTGTTCTTTAGTAAAGAAAACGGTTCTATGTAGAACCATGAACACTCAAAGAAAGATTTGTATGATTAAGTTGTTCTTTGCATTGTGTAATTGTTCTTCAGATTGATGGAGAATGAGCTGTAGATGGTTCTATATTTATTGGATATGAGAAATTTAAGTTGTAGTGAAGTTCTTACTTCAACAAACAGCACTGAATGAATCAATGAATCAATGTGGTTTTCTCATTTCAGTTGATTCGTCACAGCTCTGTTGCAGAAATTCAGTTAAAAAAGGATTTTTTTTGTGGAGATTTCACTTTTTCTTGCATTTAAATCTTTAAGAGATTCTAATGTATTTCTATTATAGATTTCTATTTGAGATTGAGTTCCACCTCTACACACTGCTCTTCACATTCTCTGCTCAGCCCACATCTAATGAACTGAAAGTCTTCACTCACAATATAAAAACTGCACCACAGAAGGAGGATTTAAATGTATTATATCCACAAATTAAAACATTACGTTCAGACATGCATGCACGCTTGAACCAAAACAGGAGAATGAACACACACATCCAAAAGATGTCTCCACACTCATTCGCATATTTTTCAAAATTGCATTGCTCATTTCATCATTACTAATCAGACATTCTTTGCTTTTCTTTGTTTAATCTGGGTTAATTTAGTGATAATCTGTGGTGTGACTTTCATAGAGTATCATGAACTGTATTTCTAAAAAATCCAGCTCATATTCATTCACCCTTAGCCGTTATGAGACTTCAGACTGCCTGTGAACTTTGCAGTTTCAGTTTGTTTTTACTGCATAAACAGCTGAAGCTGCTGTTAAGCTGGCGATCTGTTTATGGTCAGTTTTACATGGCAGTGCCATGTTTACATTCTCACACAGACAGCATTCATGGTTATGTCCACTTATCCCACTGGATAAGCATAAACTTTGGAAAAAAAATGTTTTAATCTGAAAAGTAATAACTTAATCTCTTCAGGTACATTTCCTAAATATTTGAGTATTAGTCCCACTCTCCTTTACGCTACCCTAAGGTCTAGGTATTAGTCAGGTGGGCTGCTTTTTCTAGCAGGGTACTTAGTGTTTTAACCGCAACAGTAACTTAAAACGTCATGTCGAGTTCGGACAGCAGGCCTGAGCATTTGCAGCGCTTTGGCCAGGAGTTTTGTGTCATTTGTGTTCACATCCTTGAGTAAAGTATATTTCTGGCTTAAGCCCACTTTTCCACTGACATGCTGCTGATCTCACAGAGCTGATGTTAGCAAACCTTGTCTGACGTTCGTTAATGTGTCACTGTACTAGTATACTAGATTATGCTGTATACTAGATTATGTTAAATAAAATAATAATAATTTGTATTATTACATGCACAAAATATATTCCTAAATCAGTAATATTGCACACTGGAGAACCTATTTATTATAAATGAAAGGTTAAATTAAAAAAGACTGCAGTGGAAAACAATCAACAGTCAAGTCCCTGATTAGTGCAGAACCATCAACTGCTGAGTTAATGCTGCATTACATTACCACAGTGAACACAGCTGTGACTCTACTGACTGCTTTACTGTACCAGTTTAATCAGTCAGTAATGTGACTGACTGAATATAAAGACGTGAGCTACAGACATAATGGTGCATGAGGTAGTGAAGTCCAGACCTGATTCCACAGGAACCTTAGTTTTCAGATCACTCTCTTACTGTATCTATCACACAGATTATACAGTGGATTTTTACAAGACCCTCAACACCTAAACATCATTTTTACTGATTAAGTTAATGACAAAGTGTGTCTGTGTGTGAATCTGACACAGGAGCTATAATATAAAAGATAAACTCACTCTATGTACAAAAAGCATCTCAGTATCAGTGACGTTACAGTAACAGACAGTAACAGACAGGCCTTTACTGTCCAGTCTGTATGTCCAGCAGTAAAGAAGCTCTCTCAGCATGTTGAGAGTCTCCTACTGACCTCCTTCTGCTCCTGAGCAGCTCCTCCTCTATAGTTATGGAGCTCTTTCAGTAAAGTGGTTCTAATTTCTCTCACTCTGAGTCTCATTGTTTCTATCTCTCTCTCCTTTTCATCCATCCTACAATCAAACTCTTTCTGTTGCTTTGTCATGACTTCCCAGATTCTCTGCTGGAGTTCAGGCAGGAAGATCTTCATGAGGTTCCTCTCTGCCTCCATCTTGGCTTCTCCTTCATACGTCTCCCTGATCTCCTCCATCTCCTGTCTGTGTCTCTCCTCCATCTCTCTCCTCTCCTTTTCAGTCTCTTCTTTCAGTCTCTGTAGCTCCAACTGAGCCTCATTCCTCTGCTGAGTCTCTCTCTCCACCTCTCTCTCCAGCTCTACCTTTCTCTTCTCGTCTCTTTCCTCTTTTAACATTCCCTCTAGTTTAGTTATTCGCTCTTCATGCTGATTTATTCTGGTATGAAAGTCAGCAGTTGATTCTGTAAACTTTATAAAAGTCTCCTGTACACATCTCTCCAGCTTCTCTCTAGTTTCTCTTTCTTGTCTCTCTCTCATCTCCTCTCGTTCTCTCACAATTCTTCTCTCTATCTCTCTGATCTGAGATTGTGTCTCCAGGTAGATCTCACTGCTGTAGAGTTTCTCTCTGTTTCCTTCCACCATCTTCTCTATCTTCTCCAGCAGCTCTAAGGTTTGAGCACCTTCTCCGCTCTCCTTAATGCTGAGACAGTGAAACCTGTTCCCACATTTCTCTACGAGTCTCTGGACCTCCTGGTTTCCTGACTGGATAAACTCTTCAATGTTCTTCTCTTGGGCTTCATCAGTAACAGTGAAAAGGATCATGGTGTTCCTCCAACATCTCTCTCCAAAGATCTCCTCCATTTTCTCCAGCATGCCTCTCTCCTCTCCTGTAGACTGCTTCACTGGTACGACTAGGAGGAAGGCGTGGGGTCCTGGGGCGGACAGACGGACACAGAGTCCCACGTCCCGTCTCAGCTCCTCCAGAGAGAGCCCAGGACAGAACCAGTCAGGAGTGTCCACCACAGTCACCTGCCTCCCAGCCACCTCCCCCTGTCTGCTCTCACTCTGCTGCCTCACTGTAGACGCTCCAGCCTGGCTCCTCTCCTCTCTGCCCAGGATGGTGTTTCCTGCTGCTCTCTTCCCACATCCAGTCCTCCCCAGCAGCACCAGCCTGAGCTCTGCTACAGGAACTGACTCTGGAGAGGCTGAACTAGAGGACTCTCCACTCACTGTGAATCAACAACAATGAGGCATCAAATCTCTTACTGTGTGATGGGGATTATTATAATTAGAGAAATATTTAAGATAATATTTAAGATAGGAAATCAGTGGAATCATTTACTATGTGGAGGAAGTCCCTGCAGACTGTTTCTTCTCCTGAGTGGTGCTGCAGACTGTGGAGTCTCTTCATTCACTATGAAACAGAACAACCAGCACAGAGGAGATTATGTTACTGACTACATTTTCACTCTAATCACAGAAGAAACATGGAGGCCTCCATCTTCTTAATTTTGTCTTTTACCTTCTGTTTTAGTGGCAACTGATCACGAAAGAGGCGTTTAATTATATATATATATATATATATGCTATGTTTTAGTTTTAAATCAATAAAGAATGAATTAAGTCGCTAGCTTTGTTTATTTTAGAACATATTAGCTTGTTTCTAGCACAGCAAAGGGAACCACAGTAAGTCACAGCTGAAGAGGAGTGTTATTATAGTGAGTAGCGTCTCTTTCTCCTCCACCTGGATCTCCTCTGGATCAGCAGCTCAGCTCAGTTTTTGGTTCCTCCCATGTGTTGTAGCTGGGGCCTCAATTACTGTGACACCCAGGGTAAACCCACGCAGCGGTTTTACCCGGTTTGTTAGAAGCACAGTGGATGCTTGTACGGGTAAGACGTGCTGAATAGCTCTCTTCCTAAAGTGTCTTAATAAGCCTATAAAAGCCATGAATTCTGTTTAAACGGCACATAAAATGTAGAGCTTAGAGACACAGAATGTGTTTAAACGGTGTGTGGTAATTTTAGGCTGAATTTGAATGGAACTTTGATGTTTAGCTCAGTCACGTTTTGGCTATCTGTAGGGAGTGGGAGAGAGCTGCTCTGGCTGCGTGAGCTTACTACTGCCCCATGCTACTTTCATTCAGGAATAAATCTTCAGATCTCCACTTCCTGGGTGTGCGTGCCTGGTCTCAACTACTGTTTCGAGTTTGCTACATGAGCATTCAATAAAAATGCCACCAGTGGCTGATGAAGAGGTCATATCAATAAAATGATGAACTTTGGCTTCATTAAAGCAATAAAAACATGTTTCTATATCAGCGTCACATCAGACTGGATTGAATCATTTGTATTGTGGTGTTTTAGATTTCTTGTATCACATTCTGAACTTGTAGACTAGTTACTGTTAGTGCTGGTGAATCAGCTGAGCTCACAGAACTGCACAGTATAAACAGTGAGAACACAGCTTCTCTAACTGTTCTACACACGTTCTCTGTTCTCATAGGTTCTCAAAGGTTGTTCTTTCAAGGAACGTTCTTCCTAAGAACACAAGTCTGTTCTTCTGGTTCAGGTAGAGAAACACTGTTTTCTGATGGCGGTCATCATAAACCAGAAGCTAAAAGACAAAAATCTGAAGAGCTGCTGCTTTTAAATGGGCGGAGCTGAATAAGATAAATAGTTTTTATATAAGAAAAATGTCATGAAATTTGTAAATAAAAGTTTAACACTTTAGTTTGCTGATTTCACCAAATACTAAACTCTTATAGAACTACACTTTACAGCAAAGTTGACAATTGTTATATCTGTTTTAATCCATATTAAATAATATTTTTCTGGAATTTTCATCTGTATTTTAATTAGTTAGTCATCTTCAGTGTGTGATCACATAACAATATACACACTTTATACATTCATATTCATGCAACAATATTAGTTACTTACAGAGTGGAGGTAAAAACTCTTTGCTGTTCCTCCTCCTGTCTGGAGCTGCTGAGTCTGGATCTGTTCTCTCCTGCAGCTGCTTGTTTCTCTCCTCTAGAAGTCTGTCTTTCTCCTCAACCTGCTGCTCTCTTTCCATTAGCTGTGTGTCTCTCTCTCTTAGAAGTCTCTCCTTCTCCTCCACCTCTTTCACTGTGACCTCCAGTAGAGTCTCTTTCTCTCTCAGCAGTTTGATCTGATTCTCCAGCTGTGAGTCTTTATCTTTAAGCTGTTTATTAACACTTTCTAATCTTTCATTAGTTTCCTTTAATAATGAATCTCTCTTATCAATTGTCTCTAAATGTTCTTTTAGAATCCTGTCTTTATCTTTCAGTTCTTCTTTTAATTCTTCATCTTTCTCCACAAGTCTTTTCTCCATTTCCTCCATTTGTTTTCTACGACTCTCTAAGGTCTTTGTTGTTTGTCTCAGTTCATCTTGTGTCTCTGTGAGAAGTTTGTCTTTCTCTTCTAAAATCTTCTCCTTCATCTGAAGTGTTGTTGTGTTTTCTGTCAGTCTGTCTTTCTCCTCCACTTGTTCTTCTCTCTCCATTAGCTGTCTGTCTCTCTCAGAGAGAATGTGTTTTGTTTCTTTAAGCTGTTTGGTCTTTTCAGTTAAATCTGTAAGAAAATAGAAATTCAGTCTTTCTCAGTTCACAGTGTGCAAAGTTAACAGATACACAGTACTGAGATTTAACAGCAGTGTGAGTTTAATAGCTGTTAGGGAAACACTTAAGTGGAATAGATTTTATCTCTTTTACAAAAAGCCTGGAAAAAATCAACTGGAAAATAAAGAGTCAAATATATTCATAAAACATGAATGGTAGAGATTAACAACAATTACACTACCACTCAAAACTTTGTACACACCTACTTATAATTTTCCTTATTTTTACTATTTTCCACATTTTTGACTCAAAGTGAAGGAACAGATGTAGAATCATCAAGAGACCAAAAAGTGTTAAACACATCAAAAATATCTATATTTATAAAATTATTTTTCAGTCTGGAATTAATCAGGAGTTGAAATGAGGAAATTAATGGAAGAGATTAATTAATGACAATTACAACACCAGTCAAAAGTTTGGACAAACTTACTTACAGAATGTTTTATTTCAATTATACTATTTTCCACATTTTACAATCTTAGTGAAAACATTAAAACTGTAAAATAGCATATACAGAATTATGTAGAGACCATAAAAGTATAAACAAATAAAAAATATCTCCTGATTTATTTATTTATTTGTTATTTAAATTGCCGTTGTTTCACTTTCTTGCCTTGTTGTGCTTTAAACACTCCTGATATTCTCTCAAGCCAGTGTGAGTTTAAGAGGAGCCTGGCCAGTTCATTTCACTCCCATCATTAAAAATAACAGCAGTGTTGAAGTTTCTCATTCTATGTTGTGAAAACAAGTGCAGTTCATAAACCTGACTAAGCGTTAATAAAGGCTTTATAAGAACCCTTTCACTGTGGACCGGCTCAAGAGCGCCACCAGCATCTGACAGACCCACATGACATTAAGTGTCAGTTCTCCTCACTAAAGAATCTCTGCTCCTGGATGCTTTTCCAGCAGAACTGAAGCAGGAACACATGTGTCTGTTAGGGGTCGACCGATAATCAGCACAACTG